GGAGGATAAATCCCGGCCGCCCCGAGTGCAAAAGCGTCTCCTCAGGCGCCGCGCCCGTCGCGATGGCATCTTTCCGAGTTGCCTCTGCGGCGTTCCCCACCTGCGGCGGCGCTTCTGAAGGGCCGGGGCGACTGGCCCAACCTCCCCTGGTGTGTGTCCCGGTGCCCTGCTGACCTGAGACCGCTGCAAGCCGGTCTGAGTAGCCACATGCCTGCTTTTAGTGGCCCCAGGTGAAAAGGCTGGTGGAGAAACCACCTGTAGGCTGTGACCTGGAGCGGTCTGGGGCCCCATTAAAGTTATGGCCCAAATCAGAGTCCAGGTGAAAGACTCGGAGCGAGCAAGAATACAAAGTACTCTCCCATATAGGTACACGTAGTTTTTCTCTTGGCATAAGCTGGAGTCAAAATTCCATCAGGTAGAATTGACAGTTCACATCCTGGCCCCGGCGTAGCCGTCAGGATCACGAAATGCTCTGTTATCTCTGTGGTGATGTAACTGACAAATACAGGGTCGTGTTCTGCATTAAACGTATACTCATGAACAATGTTCCTGTTGTAAGTAAAGCAATGTCGACGAGTGTGAACTTCATTTCTATTCTCTAAGTTCCTAAAGCATCTTTATGCCTCGTCCTGTTGTATGTTCTCAGTTGTTTTGGCCTTCATATGTTGGGTTTTTTTAGTAACTATCATCTTTCTGTTTACACAGAGCCATGTTTACATAAAACACCAAAGAGATCACTGAGTAGGAAATCCCGAATACCTACTTTCAGCTCCCCTGTTAATGACACCGATATACAGCAAGAAATCTTTTGGGATCCTCATTCACCAATCGCACGCAGACTAGGTAATGTCAATGAAATCCCGACGTAAGGGTGCCTATTTGGGGCACGCAGTGGGAGTGTACTAAAAAGTTATCAAAATTCTTGGAAAAACGTCCCTTTCTGTTATCATGGTTGGGTTGTTTGGTTTTATTTTTATTAAAACCTCACATATTCATTATAGTGCTGAATCAAGCTCTGATTCTCAATTATTTGGGATATACTGCACTTCATTAAATTTAATCATTTTGCAGTTTTTAAGAAGATTTTTTTGTTTGTTTTCATAGGGAATGGAAAAACCAAACAGTCTACCCGTAGATGCGCCGTAGAAATTTCAGAAATCGTTAATCGTATTGCTCCTCAGGTAATTATTACCTTCTAAAACGCTGCAAGGAAGTAATCAAACAAGAGTGGTCGCCTTAGTGCAGGCTCAGTTTTAGTTCCAGTAGTCTCATGGTAAAAATTGGGAATGTAGAAAACCAGCAACGTGTTCGTAAAACTGGACTGAATTAAAATCATAAGCATCGCATTTGCCTGGTTGCTCCTCTGAGTCACAGATGCTGTAGAAAAGGACGTATTAAGAAACTGGTCTTGGAGCAGCTCCATTTTAGAAAGTTTTACATCCAGAATACAAGCTATTGCCCTTGGTCTTAGGAATACTGTTGTGTTTATTTATCCTTAATCACTCATCACTTAAAAGTGTTTCTTCACACAGTAGATTTGCCTGGGATTTCTTTTTAAGCTTTTTGAATGGTCTTGAATGGCTGCTGAAGTACAAGAACAAGACTCAGATGAGGGCGAGATCCCGCAATAATAAAACCATAATAACGTTGCTTTGTTATTCTAAGTAATTTGCCTTTTTATCCTAAGATCTATGTTCTTGATAATTCCTGATGTTCTCGATAATTCTTGATGTCTCCCTCTTGCTGTGAACCTGATGTCCACAGCCTGGAAAGTGAAAATAAGAGCTTACTGTTTCCTTTTTGCTAAGTGCAAAAAGAAGATGTGTAATTCCTGAAGTAGTTCTGCAGTATTTAGTTTGCAAAATGCACCTGCTCCTTTGACAGGGCCATTTAAAATGTATTCACCATTTTGTAAGAAATTATACATAGAACTGGAAAATCATTGATAAGGGATGCCACTTCTAATTCATTACAGCCCTGTTCCAGGTGTAAATAATAGCTATCTGTTGCTTGTGTTCTTTTTCTTTCAAAAAAGAAAACCTACCTAAACCTACCCTGGTAGTTAGTAATATTCAAATTATTTTTGCTGGCTTACCTGCAGTAATTTCCCACATCCCATGGCTCTGGCCCTCTAGCCAATTTACCACTGCAGCATTGTATCTCTTACATTTCAGAATTCAAATCCAAGTCTGAACTCTCTAAAACAACTTGATTTAGTTTTTAAACTTATTTCTGTTTAAAGGCTCCTTATATAAATGAGTTGTAATGGAAGAAGTCAGGTTTTTTTTCCTGGAAGCCTGCAGAACTTGATTTCTTTCAGATTCTCTGATCTGTTACTGCTGCTTTAAGTGGATAAAGACTGCATCTCAGCTAACTCCTTATTAATATATTAAACTAGATCACAGTTTATAATATGAATGTTGCCGATTATGTATAAACTGGAAGTAAATAGAGTATTAAAGTACCAAAGTAAAATTCTGTTATTTTAACTGAAGTTCCCGGTTTAGATCAATATAACTCTCAGCAGTGTCGCAGCAAGCTCGGTGAGCTTGGACTGGTTTAGCTCCTCTCTGTGGCTTTCAACAGATTTGATCCAGTTTAATTGGTTTAGCAACTTGAACTAACGCAAAGTGTGTGTCTAGTCCAATCTTTTACCTGAAATCAAATCGCTAAGCATTACAAATCTAATCATTCAGGATGAAAAAGCAGCCTGTAATGAAGGCTCCCTTTTAGGGACGTGGATCGGTGAGGATGCTATCCCCTGTACACCTGCAGTAGTAAAAGTGCGAGCTAGGACAAAGTTAAGTTGCACCAGGTAAGTTCCAGTTTTGTCTTGCCCATCGCAGCGGGGCTTTCCTGAAAAAGGGTGCGTGGAGTTCCGTTACGTACAGTGAACCATGTAATTGTGCATTAGCAAACAGAATTCTTTTAACTTCGGGCTCGTTATCTCTTCTTAATGGGGTATTTCTTGGGAATTATTGAAGAGATCTCAAGCTGAAAGCAGTGGGATTTGGTTGTATTCTCTGTAGCTGTTAAACCGGGGAATGAACATCTCATATGGTTGTGTGGTTGAGCTTGGCTAAACTTTCTCAGTAGGCCTGATGTTCTTTTCTGTTGTTTTGGTTTTTTAATGTGGTTTGGTTTTGTTTTTAATCTAGAGATCTTAAAATAAAAAATCCTGAAGATGAACTCATGAAATTGGCTAAGGAGTTTGATAAAAATCTAGTAGAGCTAGATGCTGGTCAGGAACAAGAGAAGCTTGGTCATGACTTCATCCAGACTGCCTCAGAATCTCTGCATAATTCTAAAGATGAAGTACATATGAAGAACTTGAAGTCACTCCTTGGTGAAGTTTCGGAAACAGATACTGCTCTGTCCCTGAAACCAGTTGGACAGAGCACTGGCATCCCTGCTGCAGAGCCTCGTCACTCTAGCAGTCAAAAATCTGTGGACCTTCAGGCTGAATCGGACCTTCGTGCTCTTTTTGACTGCTCTACCCAGAAGTGTAGTGGACAGTTAAGCCCAGGACTATCAGATACTTCTTTAAATAATAGTTTCCATGAAAATAAAAGCGCTTTGGAGGAGGAGCACCTTCCTGAGCAAATTAAAATCTGGCATCATGGTAATTCAGAGGCACATCAAAAAGATACTTCATGTGCACTAGGAAGCTTGAATAAGACTTTTCCAAAACCTGATGTTCGCATGTTGACAAACAAAAATCCTCCTCCTCCTCCTCTGAAGACACAATTGACTGTCTCCAGTAAGATTGCTGGCACAGTTAGTGATGACTTTGATGACTGGGATACAGATCTTTTGGCAGATGACTCTTTTGTGATGCAGATAACCCAAAATCCTGAACTGATAAGTGCAGAAGAAACGCCACCAGTTCCTACAAATCCACCTGTGCCTGGTTTCAATGAAGCAACCAGAACAAAGGAGAGAAGCAGTTGCAATTCAGTAATTTGTTTGGGCAGTGTACATAAATCTAACAGTTCGCAGCTTTCTCCTTTGAAACATTCTAGTAAAAACACGCAAAATGTTGTAAAATCTCTTTCTTTACAAAAAACACGTAAGAGAGAAAATTCAAAGATGGAGACCGTAGCCTTTCATGGGAGATGTGATGTTAAACCAGATAAAATAAATTCTATTTGGAAAAGTGCCCCAAAGAGTGATTTGAACCATATTCCTGCTTCAGCGCAATCTGAAGTGAAGAACGGAAATGAAACTGTTCAGCCTAAAAATGACCCGCTTCCTCTTTTTCCTTCAAGATCCAATCCTCATAGACAATGGACTGTAAAAGCTGGGAATAACACACACAGTGTTTTCTGTCAATCGTCCAGTGATTCTCCCAATACAAAACCTAATGAACTAACTAAAGCGGTAAACCAAGCTAACAGAGGTCGCTTAAATCAAGTTGAAACACCAAAGAAATGTCCCCTGTCGTTCGACGATTGGAACGAACCGAAATTCTCTGAGGAGATCTTAGATATGTTTTGTGAATCCGACAGCGTTTGGGATGCAAACTGTGAGGATGATGAGTTGTTGTATCAGGTGTGTGATGATATAGAAAAGCAGACCCAGAGCCAGGATGTTAAACAAGGAAATGAAAGAGCTAAAACTATGCAAGGAGCCAGTATTAATTCCAGATCGAATGCTGATAACAGCTTCCCAGCGTCTAAACAAGGGCTGTCCGATCCCTGGGCACAAAGAACAAATGCAAAACAAGACGCTTTCTCACTGAACGATTCCTGCAGGAATTCATCAAAGGTTACACGTGGTCTGAGCACGACAGGTCACGCAGCGAACTGTAAAAACATCTCAACTCCTCTAACTGCGATCTCAGGTACTTCGATGGAGTGTAAATACACAGTGTCTGAAAAGTGTCATCAAGCTGCTTCTGAAGATACTACAAAGACTGTTTCAGGAAAATGGTACAGGTCAAATTCTGTGCCAGCAGGAGAGACTGGTTCTGAAGGAAGTCCTGTTAACACAGTAAACATTTTTAGTAGCAAAACCTTAGACAACCCAGATCTTTTGTATAACGCAGGAAAGATGCCAAGTAGCAGTTCTGGTAACCAGACGTCACTTATGCCTTCAAAGTTTAAGTTCCAAAAGACTAACAAGTCTCAGGGTGCTCTTTATGTAGCGTCTGATAATCCAGGGAGTCATTCTGGCACTGGAATTGCTCTGCAGAGTTTGGAAGGAAGCAAGAGTCAGGTGAATGTGACTTTGCACAGCAAGCTTGACAATAAAAAATCACCTTTCAAGAGGCACCTTTCAGAGTCGTCTGCACTGCCGACATCAGGTATTTGTCTTTATTGTATCACTTTCAGACTGGTTTTGTTTGTTTTCTTACTGTAATCAGAATGTCAGAGAAATTTGTACTGAATTGCAACTTAAAACAGGCTTCAATAATTCATTCAGTTTAAGCACTTGTAAATGTTCTAACGAGAATTTGGAGGTTATTTTCTCCAAAATAAGATTGTCGCGATGCATCTCTCGAATTCCTGTAGTTAAGGAGTTCCCGTTTCCCATTTTCATTCCACTTCTGCGAATACTTCCCGTTCTCTTTTTCATTCAGAATCATGAGGGTCAAGTACAGGCTGATGGCAGCACACCATATACTTAAATTGTTACTTAAAAATACTGCTATTTTGCTATTTTGACATGTGGTGAATGTTATTTAGTGACTCTGTGCTGTAATTCACAGCTCATCTTGAAAAACATTCAAAATTACTTATCTTAGCCCTGATTCCTAAAACCCCGGTTAATGGTGGGGCAGGGAAAGAAGGCAGCAGAATGCCCTTTTTTTATTATTGTACGCCTGGAAATTGAAACCTCCCATCATTTTATTGGACGATGGAAAAGTGACTGACATCCCTGTGACAATTCCAGGTGCTAGTGTTACTTCCTAGGGAAATGTAGAACCAGTCAGGTGCCAGGCACTCTTGTTCTTACTTCATCTCGTGGCCTGGTGAAGTTTTCATCTGTCGACTTTGGTAAAAGGTGCCTTTAGAGGGTACTATATGAACCTAATTTTTCAGGAAGCACTGTTGCAAAAACAACAACAAAATCCTGCAAACTATCAGCCAGCATTATTTGAAGCATTGGAATTTTACCTGTTTCTTCCCTAGCAAAGAAGCAGATAAATGGAAAGTAGCAATTTCAGATGTTAAGGGGGAAGGGAGGGGAGAGAACTGCTCATTCTGTGAAACGTTCTACAGGATAAAGGAATGAACAAGAATAGCATAGATTTTCTTTACAGATCAACAACTGTCCTCATCTCAAATTCTTGGAGAAAGGACACCGCTGTAACAAAAAGATGGATGTTAAGTGATCCTTTCAAGAGCTGATACATAGTTTTTCAGGGACACCTTTTTTTAAGAAGCAAAGAGACCCTTTGTTTTATTTATCCAGTTTGAAAGACTACGTATTAAAAAAAAATATTAATTGGAAATGGGTGGTGAGATTCTCGACATGTTCCTGTTGGTTCCACTGAGCTCAGGATTTTATCGTATTGGAATTTATAGTTCTGTAACACAACATATAAAAAAATTACGCTTAGCTATCATGTTCTTGTCTCCTTTGCCAAATTTTATTGCTACTTTTGACCTTTTTTCAACCTTTCTGGTTTTATTTGTGTGACACCTGTACCGTGTCTGACCCCTGTGTCTGTACCATCTCCAGGCCCATATCTCTGCCTGACTCACTAAATTGTAGAGCCCTTTTCACTCTGATCGCCTTAATTTTCTTAACCCATCGCCATCTCTGACGTTGACTCCTGATGTCACAAGGTTCACTTGAAGGGCAGCCAAGTAAAATTTCCTTGAAGCAAATGTCTGCATCCCAGTGTTTTCGGTGGGAGGTAGTAATCAGTCGCACTATAAAGGTCATGCATCTTATCCCCCCGCCTGCCTTGGGGACAGGACAGATGAGCCATTTTGAACTGGGGTGCCTGGTATGTCACAATAGTGTGCTCTTGTCATAGATCTTCAAACGTTGAGGACAGATAAGTTTAAAATACATATTGACCAAACCTGAAGGCTCCTAATGCATGTTTTTTATTTACAGCGTGTGTGGTGGAACAAAAAAATAGAAAATGTTCTCAAGAAGAGATCGAAAGGAAAAAACAAGAAGCTCTTGCACGAAGGAAATCCAGAATGCAGGCATGCTTCAAAAATGCTTGAATTTGGAGTTTATTTTGTCTGTGGAGTGAAGTTTTTGGGAGGGCACTATCGTAATGCTGGAAAACACTCTTTGAACCCTTTTCACAGCTACTAACAGCAAGCTTTTTCTGTTTTTCAGTTTAAAAAAATCTTGAATTGTAACTAATACTCTGGTGGTGTTTAATCTTAATCAAAAGTACTACCAGTTGTAAATGCGTAGTCCCAAAGTACCTTGAGCACGATGAAGATGCTGTTGAGTTCACGTACTATTATGTGTTGAAACCGTACAGTCTGGCAGTCGTCAGAGCACAGTAGAGTTTGCATACACATGTAAGTAGAGGAAGTCAAAACCAGACTCCCTGTGTTTGGGCTGCGTTTCTTTTATTGCAATTTTTTTAATCTATAAGAAGACTCCCGACTACACACAGACTAAGAAATACCAATGTTTGCTATCAGGTAGAAGAAAGTTTTTGAGTTTTGGCTTAAGGAAAGTACAGTCTAGAAAACATCTAGACTAGCTTTGGAAAACTAATGGAAATCAAGCGGATTCCGAAAGTCTGCTCAGTTTGTCTCCATTACCTTAGGTAAGGATTGTACATAGTGAAGAAAGAATTTAATATAAACGTTTGATAATGTGAAAAAGCATCCTGGAAAGGACATTTAACTTTTTTTTCCCCCCAAATTCCCTTCCATGAAGAGTTGGAAATACCCTAGCTAACAAGATTGGACCACCTTTTTCTAAACTTGTGTTACCGAGCTAATTAAAAGAGGGAGCCTGCATCATTTTACCAAACCATGAGCAATATAAAATACACCAGCTGACATCTCAACAACTATGAGTCAGTTTAGACTTACGGGTTGTACATATTTTTCCAAAGTAAAGGCTGTTAAAACATAAAAATGCAATGTCATGTCAGCTCAACGGGGGCTGATAGAATTTTTGATGTGATAGATGAGTGTGGAGCTCGAACTGCAAAAACTGCCTGTGGGTAAGCTGCAAGATATTTTTCAACTGAGAAATGCTTATATGTAAACATGTGACACTATGAATAGCGACTGTAATTTTTCTTTGTAAATAAATAACTTTGAAATGTACCAAAGGTTAGAGGAAGCTTTTGGTTTCTGTAGGATGTGCCATTTTTGTAATTTCTAAAAATGTAAGTATTGTATATTTGTAAATCATCATTAAACTTTTTTACGTTTTTCTAGTCTGTGCTGGAAAATACTATACTACAGAAACTGGGAGTGAAATGGGAATTACATATGGATTTTACCTGATTATATCTCAGTTTTCTATTTATAGTGGTGACAAAGTGCTTCCTTTGATCCAGTTAAACTAGAAATCCTTGGTGGAAGAACTGGTTCTACACATAACCATCTGCAGCGGAGTCCTGAACTCCTTAACTATACTGAATTTCCTTTTTTATTAACCACCATTCTTGGTGCTAGTTAGTGGTTTATGAAATCAAATTCCCAAGTTCACCAAGCACCAAGCTGGAGCCCAAGGAGCGTTACTTACAGGCTGTGGCTGCAGCTCCTTGACCTTCAGCCGTTGTGCAAGGCATGATGAGCTGGATCAGCTTCCTGACCGGGCTGAAAATTAACCCAGAAAAAAATGTCTTCAGCTTTTCAAGGAACTTATCATAATAATACCCTTAACAGAGAATATAATATGAACCAGCAAGACTCTTTGTCGTGTTGTCAAGCCTTTGCTGGCAGCATTCAGTTTATGAGACGGAAGATTTGCATGTCCGTATGACAAATAAACGTAAACCGCAATGAGGGGCCATCGCGAACATTTTATTTATCCCGAGAACGCGGTTTGATCTGCGTATTTGAGGGATCTGCTTGTCTTTGTGGTGGTGTAGGAAAATCTAAACAATGGGGTCACTTGCCAGATGTACTGTTAGCCAATAAAGGGGCAATGAAAAAAGGCTTCTGCTATCAGCATGAGAGTTATAAAAGGGGCTCTTAAGTTATTGATACACAAGGATGTCAAGCCTTATTGAGAAGATGAAAATTCTAGGCTTTGGCTAGTATAGTGTTCAGCTTATCAACCCTTCCCTCTCCAGGATGGTTTTTTCCAATATAATTTTTGTTGTCAAGGATAATATGGTTAATTAGACTTCTGATTTGAGAAGATGAGCAAACTGGAAAAGGGAGGAAGTGTTATGGGTGCTGGGGACTATTTATTTAGGAAGCTTTCATTCTCTGATGTGAAAGAACTGACTTCTAACAGGTTTTGAATTTGGCATAAATAGGAAATACTTAACTTGAAATACAGGCTAAGCACATGATGGCTACTCAGGTTCATCGTAAAAAAATCCTGAATGTTTGCCGCTGCGTGCCCTTGAACACGCTTAAAAGTTTAAAACCAATTTACTGCCCTTCCAGGGGATGCTCATTTTCTCGGCACCCAGGGCCGAAAGGCTTGGGAACTGCCCACCTAAAATGCCACCACTGGTCTGAGAGCAGGTAAGAATATCCCAGCTCATCCTTCAGCACAAACGTCCAACCAACCCTCGTAACCTACGAGCTCAGCGTATGACAAGGGGAATTCTGTTGCTGCGAGGGGTGTGGAAAGGACCCTTTGCAAACTTTCCAAAGGGCGGAAGACACAAACTGCTTTTTGACCAATTACTTACTTACCCCAAGCATTTCCTATGTGTTCCTTAAATATATTTAAAGAATCTGCTCAAACACATCCATTGCCCTCCCCTATTAAACTAATGATAACAGAGGGGCTTTGGTTTTTGATTTCTCATAAATACCTATTTTTAGCACAGATATTATGCCACAAGGCGTCCAATTTGGTTTTTCTTAAATATTACTTTCCAAATAGAAATCACAAGTTCTTGGGGTCATGGTTTCTTAACTGATGTCGAGACAAATGACTTAAGATTTTTTGGCTCCACTCTGACTATCCCCAAGTGTCCTGCTTTAGCATCCCTCAGTTAGCAAGTTGAATAGTTACTTCTGTTAGGAACAGAGAAATAATTTCTTGTGTTAAAATTAAACTACTATACCATTTTTACTAGGCAAATTTGGTAATAGTGAAAAGCTTAAAGGAATGCTTCTATATGATGATACTTTAATCCTGTATGGCTTCATTGGTGGAGTCAATGAAGGCAGGAGATTCATTAGGGTTTAGAAATAGAAGAAAAACGTCTACAATATCAAAAATAAAATTACACAAGGTAGGAATGTTTGTCTTTAAAAATACATATATTCATAATTGGTTAGAAACAGCCAAAAGATGTAGAAGAATCTAGTGGAAAATAAACTGTATATATA